GGGGGGGGGGGGGGGGGGGGGGGGGGGGGGAAGAATCAACAGTATGATTTTTGTTTTGGGGGGGTTGTTTGTTTGTTTATGGTACCCTAGCCTAAAACACATTTTTTAAGTGGCCACCTCAACAAATGTGTAAAGATATAAGTAGAGGAATGTTATTCCAGAAGTTTAGGAAATTGCCTAAATGCCCATCACTAGGGGAGTGGGCTATATCCACTGCTAGCTTCTTTCCAACAATTACCATCTAGACATGGAGAAGCGTGAGCTAGACACATACTTATCGACAAGCCAAGACACATAAGACACGGGACTAAGTAAAAAGAGACATAAAACAGCCAGTGCTGTAAAATTTCCTTTAAATAAAACCTGTAAACATAAATATATATCCCAGAGGTCTAGGGCCAGCCTATAGTTTCAGATCTAGAAAAGTTTGTCTTGGATTCCCCATCCACAAATTGGGGAACCCCCAATCCAAGTATTTCTGTGAATTCCTGAAGGACTTTTGTTGACATGGTCACATCCAGATTTTCCATCCCTTGCCCTTCCCTTCCCACCCCTTTCTCCTGCTTAACTAGATCAAGTCGGGAGTGTTTTACTGTTGCACGTACCTATTTTGGTTCCACACCTTAGATATGGATTCAACCCTTTCCTTAATGTCTCCCCCTAGAACACACCCTAGGTCTGTGTGTACCATAAACATTGTTAAAGGCTTTTCAAAGCAGCAAAGCAAACAATTTGAAATTCAGCAATTAGGTGTCCCTGTTTTTCAAAAGTCCCTTGACCACTCCCACGCCCCGGGCTCCAGCCTCCTGCTGGGCTGTGCTCTGCTGCTTCATTTTCCTTTCTATTTTCAGCTCTGCTGCTCTCCCTCCAGCTCTTGATTGGCCCTGGGAGCTCAGAGTTGTTTCCACTTTGCAAAGCAGCAATTCAGTCCCTTTTCTGCCCCACCCCAAATTCGGATCTAGGCCACCCCTGCCCATATCCAAACCCAAAGAGGGGCTCAGGGTCAGCTCCCAACAGGCCTTTCGCTGACCAGAACCTGCCCTCTTTAAATAGCGAACGGGGCTGTAAATAACCATGTATCTATCACACCCGCACATAAAGAAAAATCAGTCTGGCATTAGCATTCACCAAGATGTTAACAGTGGTTATTTCTGAGTAATGATATTTTGGGTAATTTTTTTTCCCATTTCTTCTTTATATATTTTGGTATTATTTGAATTTTCTAAAATGAGCGTATTAGCCTTCCAGTCTGAGTAGGGAGCAGCGGAAGCAATTTTCCTGTGGGGGAAGACAACGTCCTCTGTGATGCCAGCGCCTGATTCAGGTGCGCAGTGGGGCCTCCTTCCCAGTGCATGCGCACATGGGCCCAGTCATTAAGCACACAGCGTCATCCGGCCATCACCCAGACCTCACCCCTTTTTCCTGACCTGACTCTCCTCAGCACCCTCCTACCTGTCCCGGCCTGTGGTGCCATGGAGACTGGCAGGCAGCCAACCCCAAACCCACCAGGCATCCAGCTCAAACTGCCTGCCCATCCCCTCTGCTTACACACATTAGAAGAGTGACAATAGCAAGGGCCCAGAGAGCCAGAGGGTCCTGTCACCATTCTGAAGCGCTCATCCTCCACCCATTGTTGCAGAAACTTGAACGGAGCCAAGCATAGAATGACTGCATTTCCCAGGAGCAGGGTTCAGCTTCATACTCACCTCGTGAACAGAGCCTGGGCCTCTGGAGAAGGGGTGCGGATCTGGAGAGACACCCCCGCAGGAAAGGAGAAGGGGCATCTGCGGGTCCTGGGGAGCACTCCACATTCCCAACGTCATACCCTTGACAGATGCATGAAGGTATCGCTGCTGTTACAGTGTCCTTAGATGAAATGTCATCACTGCTCCCTTGTTGAAGTGACAGGAGACTGGTGAAGTCTCTTTTATTGCCAAGAAACTCATAAAAGAGAAAGTCAACCCATGGTCAGGAAGGAGGGATGTAGGTTCAATTAACAGTAGTGAGGCTTGAGATTTAGGAAGAGGAGGTTTGAGACTCCCCCTCCTTCCTGTCCCCAATCTGGCCTGGATTTCTGCCCATAGACTTGTCTGAGGCCAATAACGAGTCAGGTTACAGGAATAGGATTTTACATCCATCCCCCACGGTGCCTGGCACTGAGCCGTCCAGAGCGGGCACTCAATACCTTTGTCAAATCAAACTCTTATAGAATGACTCTTCTCTCTCTTTAAAATCACCATTTATCGAGAGCCTTCCGTGGAGCAGGCAGTGCGCCATGTGCTTCACTTACGTCGTAGTCCATTAAACCATCACACCAGGGTTGCAAGGTAAGGGTTATTGCCCATTTTTTTCTAGATGAGGAAACTGCATCCCACAGAGATTAACGTAAGTAACTACCCAAAGGTCCCACAGCCCATTAGTCAGCTATTGTGACAAAATGCTATGTAACAAATAATCTGCAAACTCAGTAGTTGACAGCAAGCCTGCTTTCTCACTGCCAGCAGTGGCTCTTGTGGGCTCGGCTCGGGGCTGTGGCTTGGTCAGGAACCTCCTGATTCTCCTGGGATCGTGGTTACCCAACACATTCCTCTCATGGCAGATGGGAGAAGAGCAAGATGCCAAGCCAGGATGTGCAAGTACACAATGGTCTGTTGGCCAAGACCCACATCAGTGGGAAAGGGAAATTATGTGTATATTTCACCTCTTCTATTGAGAGGTCTTGTAAGGTCACATTGCAAATGGTGTGGATGCATCATTTCAATACCAGGGGTAAACAGATGGGAACAAGGATACGATTTACATACACAGTTAGTTGAGAGGTAAAGCCAAGATCAAATGCAGATCCTTCTGATGCTAAAACCCAACGTCCCCCACTTCCCTTCTCTGTCCATCTGCGGGGTACAGACTGAGCTTGAGGTTCTTGATGGTGGTATGGATGGGGAATCCTGACAGAGTTGGCAGAACAGGAGAAAAGTGGTCTGCTGCATCTTGCTGTACTTAGTTGCTCCGGGGGAAGACAGCTGCGGACCTCTGAAGACTGGATGGGGAGCCGGGGGCGAAACTAGTCCCCCATCAGAGCCAGACTCAGCAGCAGTGTGTGGTCCCTGCCCAGCCGGGGCCATTGAAGCTGTTCATTCACCCCCAGCTTCCAGTGAGAGTACACCCAAACGTCAGGGACAGGGTACTTTCTGATTCCGGGGTACTGTTCCCCACAATATTTCATGCAGTGCACCCCAACCTCTGATGAGAGAACTCCAACCCCTGGAACATTAGTGAGAGACAACACTCATAATACCTGGAACAGTTTGTTCTCCACACCTGGAGCTCAAGACAACCTAAAAGTGTCCTGGGTGTGGGACCTGATACCCTGAGCTCCAGTCTCAGTTCTGATCTCTGTGTATCTCTGTGCTTCAAGTTCCCTATCTGTAAAATGGGACTGGGCTACTGGGCATGTGCCAGAACCTTCCCAGCCAGGCAGTTTCTGGTCCCAGGAGGTCGCCTACTGGCGGTGGTAATCTAGACTCGATGTTTCTCTGTGTAGTGCTTTTTGTCACTCTCCAACTTCATCCATCCTTGTCATTCAATGTCCAGAGTCCTCAGTCTTCTATTCTAGGAGAAAACAGGGTTAGGAGGAGCAATGACTGCGGGGAGGGGCCTGGCTATCAGTCGCTGTCCTCCCGGCTAGAAGCAGGGCTGAGCCTGGATCGCTCCGCTTGAATGGGGCTCACAGCAGTCCTATTCTGGGACTTTCCCAAGAACCCCACATCAGTCTTAGATCGGAGAGTCTGTGAGGGCGTGTGTCGCAGCACCTGGGAGTACATGACGAATGCAGACCCTCAGGCCTCTCCCAAGACACCTGGATCAGCATCAGCATTGACAAGGTCCCCAGCTGCTTGTGCATACATTACTGTCATCGCTGGTGCGGCAAATGCCACATCCATCCCTACCCCCTTGCCTTTACCATTTTCCATATGCACCGGCTCTGGTGTGTGCCTTCATGCCCAGCAGCTCACACCTGCCATTCTTGCAAGAGGGCCGCTTTCGAGCTACCCCTTTGCCTATGGCACAGAGAGCCAGAAGGCCTGGGAATTGACATCCACCTGGGAGCAGCCCTTACCCAGAGGTTCCAGAACTTCTGCAATTCCTGGAGCCCTTGATGTCTCAGTAATTTTTTCAGAGTACTCACTCCTAGTGCAAAAGAAATACCTAACTGTCCCATTTTATTAAGTAGTGAGGTTGAAACAGCTCAACTAGTATTTATATCCTAGCAACTCAGCAGCTGTTTGCAAATATGATGAATAAACATTACAACAGAAAACTACATTCTGATTTCACTCATAAATAACCACAATTATTTATTAATGGGATGCGTGTGCCTGTCGGGCTCTGCTCAGCTTTTCAATCCTTGGAATCAGATTGGACACCACCAGCCCCATTTCCTGCTCTACATTCCATACTTTTTTTTTTTTAATCACAGCTGCCACCTAACACCCAGCTTCACAAATATATAACATCACCCAGGGTAATGTAGGGCAATCTGACGTTGAAAGTGTGAATGACCTCAAACGTGGGGTCTGGCAGCTGTGGCTGTGTTTTTCTCAAAAAATTATAACATCTCGCAGCACCAAGGGTACCTTGACACATGGTTTGGGAACCATGGCCTGACTCATGGTTGAGGTTGCTGAGGTATAAATACTGCAGCTCCCTCACCCTGCTGGGGACAACCCTGAGGCATGACCTATCCTGTCTACTGCTGGGCTGAACCACAGTTACCCTCCCTGGGCCTTGGCTTGGAGTGGTATGATTATTTGACCTCCTGCTTCTCTTTCTTTCCCTTCCCTTCCCAAACTCACTTCTCTGTTTGCCTTACAGGAATCTTCTTCTCAGGACCTGCTTCTGGAGAACCCAGACTAGGAAAAAGGTGACCAGGAAGACGGGGGGTGGGGAACCTGTTAAGAGGCATTGTCAGCGAGAGAGCACGTAGGTCCTTTGCCTTGGGCGGTGGTAGTGGGGCAGAGAACAGGGGATCAAGCCAAGAAATACTAAGGAGGTGGGATTTGCAGCCTTGGTCCCTGGCTGGGTACGGATGGTGAGAGCATCCCAGACACTCTGGGTTTCACCCAGAATGGTGATGCCACTAATAGCCATCTGGAGACTAAGTGCCAAGGGAGTTGAGGGACAGATAGTGAGTTCATTTGCTACATGTTGAGTTCAAACCCTGGAATCCTAATTCTAAAAAAAGGAGAAAAGTCAAGCAGACAAACTTTTCCACCCACTTTTTAAAAACGATGACGTTTAAATGTGTGCCTGATGTGCCATTCCCAGCTTCATTAACCCCCTAATAATTACACTAATTGCTGCACATGCTCTGCATAAGGAAGTGTTGAGAGCCACGGCTTGTGCTCAGCGTCAGCTGGCAGGCGCTGCGTTCCTGCATCATGGAGTGTTGCTCTTACACCCTGAAATGTTTTAGGCAAACAGAAGTGGCACCTGTTGAATATCATTGCTGGGGGTGGCACAGCTTGAGCCATCGGCAAGCACTCACAGTGCAGAGCCACACTCAATGAGCCAGGACCCCACAGCTTTGTTCCCTGATGGGGCTGGCAAGGGGCTGGGAGCTGCCAGCTGGGGGGGCCCATGGGAGACAGGTGCTGCCTCCCACCTAGTGTCTACTCCTCCCAACAACCTTGAGACGTGTGAATTGTTATCTCCATTTTACTGGCAAGAAATCTGAGGCTCAGCTAATTTTTTTATTAATTCTACACATATTCATATATACTGAGCACCAGTTATGTGCCAGGTACTCTTGAAGGCTCTGGAAGGACAGCAGTAAGCAAAACCAGGCCCAGCCCTGTCTCACCCTTACTTCTCGTGGAAACAGACAAGCAATGAATGAAGTCAGGTGGCAAAAGAGCAGTGAAGCAAAAGGCAAGGGGAAGGAGCGGGTGCTAGGGTGAGCTTCCATAGCGTGGCCAGGGAAGGCCTGTCCGAGGAGGGAAAGTTTGAACAGAGCCCCGGATGAATGGAGCGAGCAAGCCCGGGTGCTAGCTGGCAAAGCAGGTGCCAGGAAGAAGTTGCAGTGAGTACAGAGGACCTGGCATGTGCCTGCGTGTTGCGTTGGAGAACAGTGCAGGGGCCACTGCAGCTGAAGCGGAGGGAGAGAGGGGAGTCGGAGGCGGTGAGGGCTGAGAGGGAGTGAGACCAGAGCATCAGCCCTGGAGGCCTCCATGAGGGCTGTGGAGTTTATTGTAAAGGTGGTGAGACATCACTGGTGGATCCCCGCCCATGGTTACACAGCTAGTAAGAGGCAGAGAAGAACCTGAGCCCAAGGCTGTTGTGTATCCAAAGCCTGTGTCGTGCCACACAGCTCCCCATCAGGCTGGCTGCTGAGGTGCTGGAAGCACTGAAACTGTTCCCTGTTTTGGAGTCCATGTGGCACCAGCACCCCTCCTGTTAAGTAGGACGTTTCTCCTCCAGTGCCCCCACCCCCACCCTGCCCACGACCAAGCGTCCTGGTACGCTGCCTGCAAAGGTGGCCACTAGCAATTCCTCCTACCCCTACCCACACATGCTGCTCCTCCTAGCAAGAGGTAGAACCTATTTCCCCTTAGGCTGGCCTGGTCACTCACTTTGGCCAACGCAGTAGAGGTGACCCTGTGCCAGTTCTAGGTGTAGGTTTCGAGACACCTGGGCGTTTCCACTTGCACCTTGTGGAACCTTGGGCCACCATGAAAAGGAGTCTGGCTGCCCTGCAGGAGAGGTCACTTGGAAGGGAGGCCCAGTTGGCCTCAGATGTACAAGTGAGAAGCCACCTTGGATCCTGAAGACCCACATACACAGCCAGTAAACACCATTAAGCCTAGGCAGCACCATGTCATGTAGAGAGGGATAAGCCGTCCCCGCCAAACCCTGCCCAAACTGCAGATAAGACGGTTGCTGTTTTAAGCCACTACGCTTTGGGATAG